CCTTTTTTGTTCTCGAAAGTTAGAAGGATGTTGATGGTGGAAAGAAAAATTCCTCTATTAACAAAATTAGCTAGAAAATATATGCAACATCTGTTCTTGCGGAACGATTATTTAGTGATACTGGAAACCATAATAAATTAAAATTTGATAGAGTAGAAAAGTTATTGTTTTTAAGAGGATTATCAAATATATATTTGATAAAAAAGAATAAAAGTATATATCCAAAAGCAAGAGAAAGTGTTACGAATATTCGAAACTATTATGAGTATTCGAAAATATACAGATATTAGTAGTTTTATATAAATAATTGTAAAGTAATATGAAAATTAGAATTAATGATTCACAAATATTATTTGTTTTTTACTATCATACATTAAAAATCCTAGATGTTCTTATCATATTTCTATTTAGATAAGGAATTAAATAATATTAATTAGGTCGAGGACCGAGTAGTGGATTACGAAATAATACATTTATTTTTGATTTAAAAAAGTTTAACATAAAAGTTACGTAGAACATAAAACGATCCAATATATTTATTCAATGTCAAATATATTTATTTTAAATGACTCAAAATTTTGCGATGCATAAGTTTCACAGGAATAGTCTCGCTCAACATATTAATATATTATTAAATCAACCGTTAACTTTCGTCACATATAATTATATAAATTCAGAGAGACTCAATAATTTTCTTCTCGTAAATCATAACTAGTTAATTCTTTCATATGTCTGTAACAATTTTTCTTTTCGGCGTTTTGTTCATAATATTGGAGTATAATCAGGGATGTGGGTTTCTTTTACTTAAAAATATATGGGGCCAAAAAATATATTACGGCCTTTTGGATACTCCTTCGGTTCGACAATTGGAATTTGGTTCTTGGAATCGTTCGTTGCTGAAGATAATATAATCCTGGTGGTAAAAACAGGTTGACAGCCTCTTTTCAAATATACTCACTTCCTTCATGCTGAAAACTATGTTTACAACAATTTAATTACTCTGGTTATTGTTAATGATCCATTAGCTTTTAAGTGAGAAAGTCACTTTTTAATGCGCAAAGATATATATTACATTTATTTATATCAATAATAATTTCAGGTTATCCTATACTTATATATATATACCGAAAAAGAATGATGGTGTAAATGAATATAAAATTTTTTTACCCATGACTGGTAAAAAGAATCTACTCTTTAGTTTGACCTCATTGAAAAAAAGAAAAGCATCAAACTTGGCAATGACAATTACCAAATGATGAGCAAAGAAATGATTACTACCTATTTAAAACATTATATAAAAATTTTAAATTAAATTTTTCTTGTATATATACAAACAAAAAAAATGTATAATTGTTTAATAATGACAATTATATAAAAATGTAATAAAATCTAAAAAATGAAAGTTAATTGAATGTCTAAAAAAAATTTTTTTTTTACACATTGGTTAAAATCTAATGTCTTTGAGGGAAAAAGTGTCTTTAAATAATAATATACATTAATTAAAATGGAATAATAAAATGAAGAAGAAATGATGGTTATTCACCAACTAATTTAAATTTTATTTTTGCATTTCCTGAACTTTTAGATTGTTTTGATTTTTTACTAGAACTAGTAATATCAGTGTTGTTTTTATTTGCTGACAAGCTGCTGCTGCTATTATTGTTTTCTTTTTCTAATTCAATCTTTGCTGCTTTTTTAGTCAATTTTTTAATTACACTAGCTTTTAATTTGATTTTAAATATTGCCTCCAAAAGTGGATCTGGTGTTAACAATTCATGTGGGATGTGTAATATAAACGATAAAATTTCCGAACTTGTTGGACAATTCTTAAGAATGTGATCACGAACACAATCTAACATTGCCAATCCTACTCTAAAAAATAGGTTTGTGCCCTCAAAATAAAATATATCCCAAATTCGTAATACCGATGCCCACGGTAATGCCATTGTAAACAATGTCATAAACCATTGTGTCATATAAATTAATGGAATTATATCATTATCAGCCTACATATATGACAAAAGATATAATTAATTAGTTAAGATTTCATATTATAAATATAATATAAAAAATACAATATTAATCCTCGGAAATTTAATTACCAAATGTTTTGATAATTTAGGGTCATGTTCGGCTAAAAGTTTTTCAAATATAAAAGCATCAATACGTATTTGTGCTAAGGTGGGTGTATAATAGTCGTTCATATATCCATCAATTGTAGCCACAAGAAGCCAAAATGCATCTTCTGCTGGCATTTGCATAAGCATCATTCCAACCAACCGTCCCATCCCCTGACAATATCCTATTTCTGGATTATAGTGTGCATATGCTTTAAGAACATCACCAGCTTTTCCAAAAGTTATGATAAATGATTCACCTATAGTAGATAGTGTTGGCGATGATGATGATATAAATGATTATAATATGTATCCTGTTTCCACCACACCTGTAATAATAGCAGTAAAACAAGTTATAACTACCGATACGAGTGCTCCCAAAATAGCTCTTGATAACGATATCGATGGTTATAATAATTATGGAAATTATAAGAAAGATGGTGGATATGAGCGGAAAGAAGAGGAGGGAGGGGGAGAAGAAGAAGAGGAAGAAGAGACTTTAATATCATATGCTAATATTAATAATAATAATAATAATAATAATAGTAGTAGTAATGATAATAATAATAGTAGCAGTAGTAACAATAATGTTAATAAAAAA